GTGTGTGTGTGTGTGTGTGTGTGTGTGTGTGTGTGTGTGTGTGTAGGTGGCAGCCACACTCAACAACTTGGCCGTTCTTTATGGCAAAAGAGGAAAATACAAAGAAGCTGAGCCTCTTTGTAAACGAGCTCTGGAGATCAGAGAAAAGGTGAGTCGTGTGAATTTTCTAAAATCTTTCTAAATGACCCGAGCTGTTCCTCTAATCCTAATTTAGGTTTAATCCCCGACCCACAAAGGTTTTATTTTATTGATATAAATTAAATAAACCCTGATTGAAAACTGAGCTTCAGGATTTTAAACGTTGTTTTCAGGTTCTGGGCACGGACCACCCTGATGTGGCCAAGCAGCTGAACAACCTGGCTCTGCTGTGTCAGAACCAGGGGAAGTACCAGGAAGTGGAGCAGTACTACGAGCGGGCTCTGCAGATCTATCAGAGCCGACTGGGTCCAGACGACGCCAACGTAGCCAAGACCAAGAACAACCTGGTGAGAGATGACCTGTTTGTTTTATTTTGAAAGTCTTTGGTTTAATTAGAGTGCTTCCTGCTCGTCAGGCCTCCTGTTACCTGAAACAAGGGAAGTACAGACAAGCTGAAGCTCTTTACAAGGAGATTCTGACCCGAGCTCACGACAAGGAGTTCGGATCTGTGGATGGTAAGAACAAATGTGGAGATACATTCTGTGTTCTGTTGGGTTCTGTCCGGGTCTGTCCCACGGCGGTCCTCTGTCCTCCAGGTGACGGCCGTCCCCGCTGGTCCGGCGTGGAGGACAGTGGGTCCGCTCAGGACGGGCTGAAGCGCAGCAGCTCCTTCACCAAACTCAGGGAGTCGATCCGGAGGAGCAGCGAGAAGCTGGTCCGTAAGCTGAAAGGAGTCGGGATGGAGGAAACCCCGAGGAATGCTGGGTAATCGTCTGGTTGTTAAAATCCAAAGTTGTTTTTAGGTTTGGGTTTTTAAAGTCAACTTGTTGTCTCTTTAGGATGAAGAGGGCGAACTCTCTGAATGTTCTTAATGTTGGAAGCAGAGAGAGTCAGGATGGAACCCAGGTGAGCTCCTGACCCTGTCCAAAAACTGACATGTTACAAAGCAGTCAGCATCTAACCTGCAGCAGACAGCGTCTAACCTGCAGCAGGCAGCATCTAACCTGCAGCAGACAGCGTCTAACCTGCAGCAGACAGCGTCTAACCTGCAGCAGGCAGCATCTAACCTGCAGCAGGCAGCATCTAACCTGCAGCAGGCAGCATCTGACCTGCAGCAGACAGTATCCAACCTGCAGCAGGCAGCATCTAACCTGCAGCAGGCAGCRTCTAACCTGCAGCAGRCAGCATCTGACCTGCAGCAGACAGTATCCGACCTGCAGCAGACAGCATCTAACCTGCAGCAGACAGTATCCAACCTGCAGCAGACAGCATCTAACTTTTAGCAGACAGCATCCAGTATCCAACCTGCAGCAGACAGCATCTAACTTGCAGCAGACAGCATCCGACCTGCAGCAGACAGCATCCGACCTGCAGCAGGCAGCATCTGACCTGCAGCAGGCAGCATCCGACCTGCAGCAGGCAGCATCCGACCTGCAGCAGGCAGCATCCAACCTGCAGCAGGCAGCATCCAACCTGCAGCAGACAGCATCCAACCTGCAGCAGGCAGAGTGGTTTCAGGTTGGAGAATGAGAGAAATTCAAAGTAATCGGGTATTTTTTGTTTTTTCTCCACAGGTGAGTCGTTTGACGGACAGTCGAGGTCTGAGCTCCAGCACTCAGAGCCTGACGAGGAGAGGCTCACTCGGTGGGACCAGATAACACACAAACACGTCCAAATTTAACTCTTTGTAAAGAAAAACCGGAAGGATGTTCAAACGCTGAGAAAATCTGCTGCTCATAACGAGACCAAAAAAACTTTAGAAAGAAGATCAATGTTATGTTAAAAACATTTTAATAATGTCTTATTTGTTTTTAACATTTAGAAAAGTTTGTCACACGTTGAATCCTTACATTCCTGGATTATAAATGTGGATTTTAAAAAAAGGCAAATGAAACATTCTTGTTAATGAAAGAGCAGGTTGAAGCAAATATTTATATTTTATTAATTAAACCTTATTTATTGAAAACAAAGATTTTCTAAAACAATCACTTCTTGTAAAAAAAACAGGGATGAAGTTAGCAAAACACTGAAGTTTTTGTTAAACTGCACATTTTTATTCATTCATGAGGGAGAAGTCATGTTTTAACTTTTGAAGGGATTTTAAACTCTGGATAGTTTTTCTACAGAAATGAGTTTAGTTTAGTGAACCACGTTTACAGTAAAGACACTGTGTTGTAGATGCATCAGTATTTATTTTATTGTATTAAATTTTATTTAGAGAATAGTTTGAACATTTCTGTTGCTCAGTTTTATAGAGAAGCTTAAAGTCATGAAAATTTAAATCAAACTGACATTTCTCTTACATAAATTGTTCACATGTCCTTAAATTAAATCACTGTGTGTGTTTGTTTACCTACAAAAACAGCCAAAGTGACTGAAAATATAAAAACCCAAAGTAAATGACTAATTTAGTAATACTGGATTAAAATCTAAAATTTGTTACAATAAACAGAACAGTTCAGTTTGAGGATAAATTATTTTGTATTTGTTGTAACTTTGGTTTGTTTGGATGACATCACATGGTGTAATTGACAAAGTAAAAAAAATAAAACGAGCAAAAACTGGAAATGACTGAATTATTTTATATCTTCATCTTAGAAATGAATCAAATAAGACTTACCTTTTTATTTCAAAAAGAGGTTTTATTTCAAAAAGAGGTTTTAAATTTTAACAGTAAAGACAGCTGGAGTAGAGAAGAAAACAGTCCGGTCTGTATGACAGACAATAAACTGCAGGTTTTTAAACGTTCACATAGGAAACTTGGTTTAAAATGCAGCTTTTCTTCTGTTTTTTCTTGGTTCTGACTCCTTCAGAGTCAAACATGTGATTTAAAGTCTGCAGGAAAACAAACCGCTTTAAGTCTGATGAGCGATCTGAGAGATTTTCTTCAGCATTTCCTCCGACTCCAGCTGCTGCAGGGTGAGCAGAGACAAGCCCAGCTGGTCCTCCTGCAGAGAGACGGATGAAGACTTTTGCACTGAACTGTAAACCGCTGCAGCTCGCTCGTTGTTCTGGTGACATAAAGTTCTCCAGGTGTGGCCGTACCTGTCTGAAGGGCTGAGCCATCTGTCGCAGGAAGTGCTTGGACAGCTGGACCGTCTCGTCCACGGTGAGGTTCAGGCTGCCGTCGCTGATGTGCTCCTGGATCCAGCGAGGAAGTTTCCCCCGTTTGTCGGCTCGGGCGTAGCGCTGGAAACACACATGGAACGAGGATTCTGCGTCGAGCGGGGAAATCAAAATAAATCGAGTCCTCACCTTGTCTGCAAAAATCATCAGGCCGTAGTCGGTCTTCCCTCTGATGACTCGGCCCACGCACTGAGCGGCGTGACGCATGGCGTCAAACGTCAGGAAGTCGTTCTCTCTGATCTGAAACTGATCCCGCAGATACTCCAGACGGGCCTGGAGACCCGGTCCAGACAGGAAGTACCATCAAAACCACAGTATTATGAAATACATGTACTTCTTTTTAATCCTGACATAAAACATAAAAATGATGCTTTTACTTTAAAATTTAAGACCTGGTTACAAGTTTAAATTTGACCAAGTGAAAATTGTTGTTTATGCACACACAAAATAAAGTGTTAGATTTAGTTCACCAAACTGGTTCCACTAAACCCCTTTAAATAAATGTTTAGTGGAACCAGTTTGGTTAAATAAATCCAACACTTTATTTTTTAGAAATACTTTTACTTTCCTGATTCTTGTGAGCAGTTTTAAAACTTTAATACTTTTATCAGAAAAATTTATTTTTACCAGTCATTTTATGATTAGGTATTTGTACTTTTTACTTACTATTTTTAATTTATTATTCATTCAATATGTTATTTGTAAATTTTATAGTTAGAATTAAATTTAGTTTTGGAAAAAAGGGTATTTTTTTCTGCTGCCTTTCATTTTATTTGTGATGTGTAGTTTTTACTGAATATGGAATTGATTTATTTAGTTTGATTAAGTTTAGGATAAGTTTAAGTTTAAGATAAGTTTATTTAATTTGATTTATTTTTTTAACAGGAAAAGATTATTAAAAATCAAGCCTGACTCAGCATAATTGCTGTTTTACAGCAGGTTCCTGTTCTGCAGCACATAAAACACTCAGAAATACAGCATCACAATCACATCATTATACAACACAGACACAAAGACAAACAAGCATACCAAATTTCAAAAAGGCAGCATTTGCAAAATAGGACATCTAAATATGAGCACAACAAAAAGTGTCCAGCAGATGGCAGACAAGATTCTTCTTAAAGGGCTGTAGTTTTGAAATGGACTTTATGTTTTGAGGAATGTCATTCCATGCTTTAGTATAAACATAGAAGAAAGACCTCTGGGCGTAACAGTTTTTAAAAGTTGGTAATATCAGTTGTCCTTTTGTAACAGATCTAGTTGAATGACCACTTCCAGAATTTGATTTGGGCAGCAATGCACAGAGTTCCATAATTGGTACCTTGGAAGGTCTGAAAATATAAATTAATACCACTATACAAAACATAATTCTGAAAAGTCAAGGCATCAGACAATGAAAGAACTGTACAGGGATGAGTCCAACCAGGAAGTTTTTTTATTGAATTTTGTAGGCCCTGTTGTAGAGCCTAACTATGGGTTCTAAGACTTCATTTGTTGTAAGAGACCAAACAGGTAAACAGTATGACATGGTTGAGAGTATAATGGCATGAAGATAGATATTTGAAACAGAAGATGTCAGATTGGATCTAATTTTTGAATAAACGTATAATTTCTGTTTCAACTTAGTGGTTAAGACTTGTACATGATCACGATAAGTCAAATGAGAATCCAAAGTAATTCCAAGATATTTGTAGGTAGTGACAATATCAAGGGGTTTGTTTAAAAAGGTGAGTTGATTTGTTATATTGAAATGTCTCCTGGGTGAGGAAAAATACATGCACACAGTTTTTTTAAACATTAATTGACAAAAGATTATCTTGAAGCCAACCATGAAATGTCTGAAGATCTGCTTGTAACTGACTATTAATAGATTCAATATTGAAATCAGACAAAAAAGAACAGTATCATCAGCATACATTAAAATATTTGAATACTTCAATATTTTTGGAAGGTCATTTATGTATAATAGGAAAAACAATGGGCCCAGTGTGCTACCCTGCGGAACTCCCACGGAACAGGGCAGAGACCCGGACACAGAGCTTCCATGTTTCACAACCTGACACCTATCAGTCAAATAAGAGGAAAACATTTGTATTGCAGATGATGAAAGTTGGAAAGAAATCAACTTTTGTAAGAGAGTATAATGATCAACTGTGTCAAACGCTTTACGAAAATCAATATATACAGCACCAGTTACTTGACCTTTGTTCAAAGCAGCACGTATTTGTTCAGTGAATAAAATTAATGCAGACATGGTTGACCTTGACGTGCGGAAACCATGTTGGCTATTGCTTAGCATATTATTAGCTTCTAGATGCTGAAGTAGTTGATTAAATAATGTTTTTTCAAGTAACTTAGAAAAAATAGTTTGAACAGAAATTGGCCGATAGTTTGAAACTTCTGTTGGATCAGCAGATTTAAAAATGGGAGTAATCTGAGCAAACTTCCAGGCATCAGGGAAAATAGACTGCACAATATATAAATTAAGCAAATGATGATGGTAAAAAAGTGTTGGCATGCATTTTCAAGAAATCCATATTTATCTTATATTTGTCAAATGCATGTGAGCCATTTAGAGATTGGAGTGTGCTCAAAACATCACTCTGTGAAATTTCAGAAAATGAAAATTCTTTGAAGTGTCAGGATATTTAAATAACTTTAAACTATTAGCTTGTCCCGGTAATGATGTCCTTACTGAAGAAATAAAATATTCATTAAATAAGTTAGCAATTTTTCATGATCAGAAACAAGAAGTCCATTCACTGAGATTTGTGAATTGTTATTAAATGTTTTATTGTTACTTTCACCTGTCACTGACTTAATCGTTTCCCATAATATTTTTGGATTCTTACTGGCTGAAATAATTTGATTTTTAAAATATTGTTGTTTGGCTTTGCGTAATTCAGCAACACATTTATTTCGGTAACTGTTTAAACGAGACCGAAATTACTCTGAATGATTTTATTTATTAACAATATGATCTCCAGTAAAGATTTTAATATTATTTAACATTCTTTCCCTCAGTTATGAACCTAAAATATCCAGTCTGAGGTGAATTCTCGTGACCAAACAAAAGAAAAATCAATCATCTCGTCTCAAACTCAACTTCATCTGCAACAAAATCTTTAATTCTTACTGACTGATTTGTTTTTATTAAATTATTTAAGTGTTACTTCTAATATAAATAATTTTAATATATATTTAACTACAGTAAACCGTTATTTTCTAAATAAATCTTTCATCTTGTTTGCTTTTTTAATCACAGGATTTGTTGGAGCTCAGAGCCGGTGTCGGCACGACTCTCAGCTACTGACCTTCAGGATGCGGCTCTGGGTGTAAACGTACGGGACTCCAAACATGATGACCGCTCGGCCAAAATGATGCACTGAGACCGAAAAAACAACGAGGTTCAGGATTATTAAAACTCAGGATTACTTAAACCAGCTGGAGTTTTATTACCGAAATCGATCCCTTCAGAAACTTTCCCTCGAGCCACAGAGAGGAGGATGGCTCCTCTGCCGTTCTCACAGGCCTGCAGGAAACATGATGAAATAAAAAATAAATAAAATAAAATAAAAACTTAACTGACACCACAACTCAAACCATTTTAAAAAGGAGAACAGGACCTCCTGGTACTTTTCCAGAGCCATGCTCGTCTCAGCAGCGTCCTGAGTCTCGATGAAGATCAGTTTGTTTCTCTGGATGTTCTCCAGGATTCCCTGCAAACAAACAAACAAACAAACAAACAAACAACACAAAAAAACTTTGAATGGTTCCTGGAGAAACTATAAAACTACAAGCCGTTTGATTTAAATAAAGATTTGATTTTACCGTTTATTGGAGATCATTGTGCTCTACTACCATCCCAAATCTGAGCCAAATATGTCTAAAAAGGCTGAGCAGTTTAGCTCTGGCGGCCATCTTGGATTTTTCATTTGGCTTCAGTATGTGATGGAGACCCTTCCTAGCTAACACCGCACCAAATTTTAGCTAAAAACGTTTTGAAATGGCCGAGTTATTGCAGTTTCAAATTAGCTCTGGCGGCCATCTTGGATTTTTCTTGAGCATTCAATATTTGTCAAAGCTTGTTCTTGGCTACGACTAACAGTTTTCAGCTCCGTAAGTCTTACAGTGCCGGTGACATGCATATCCTTCAAATAATACACAGTTTTACCCATTTTGTCTTTTTTGTCAGATTTTCTTCTTAGTTTGAAAATTTTAAATGAAACAGGAAGTGACATCAAAGGGGAACTCTTTGAGGAAGAAAAGTCCCTGGTCTTTGTTTAATGAAACAATATGATTTGAACTCTGACTCGTCTTCATCCCTCTCTAATAGAGATTTAAAATAACCTTAAAAAACACCAAATTCTTCTCTACAGTCTGTGTTGTCGACATTGTAGCAGTGCTCTGTTCACATTCAGACATTCCCCTTTGACATCACTTCCTGTTACCTCACATGTAAATATCTCAACAACTGTTCATCTCAGTGGTGTGATTTGTTGTCTTTCAAAAAATGAATTCATATTTATTACAAAAATATGATGTCACAGGCACTTTAAAATGACTACATTTTTTAGTGGTTAGCTTAAACTCCTGTTTAGCATTCAGAGTGTTGAGTTAGCTCTCAGCTGTCGACCCAGGAACGAGCGTCTGTACCTGCTCATACCAGGACGCCACAATGTTCTCCATGTAGACGTAGCTGGTGAAAAAAGCAACGATCCCGTCGGGAACGATGGCTGACATCTCCAGCAGGAGGTTGCCGTAGTTACGGATCACAGCTGGGAGGTAAAATAAATAAATAAATAAATAAATAAATAAATAAATAAATAAATAAGAATGTTTTCAACTTTATGTTTGGAGATGAAAGGATTTTCCACAAACCGAAGTCCTCTCTGGTTTCAAACTTGGAGCTCAGAGCGACCTGATCGTTGCCCCGCCCAACGATCTGCAACACAAACACCAGTCAGTTCCTTCAATTATTAAAATAAACGGCTGGGTTTCTGTTCCCCGGACCCTCCGGTGGTCCCACCAGAGGACAGAGGCAGGTCCGAGCCAGCGTCATGGTGAAGGACGCCATGGTAACGGGACGGAAGTCCAGGATTCGGGGATAGATGTCCAGCGGGGACAAGGTCTGGTGTGAGAACAGAGGACAAACAGGATCAGAAACTGAAACGTTTGGGACAGGAGGGACATGAGAAACAAGAGGGACGTCTGCGTACCCCTGAGGTGATGATGACGGACTGGAACCTCTGGAAGACGGGTTTGATGGCGATGGACGGGTCCATGCAGCTGAGACACAACACATCAGTGAGACTTGGTCCATCAGCAGCAGGTAAACTTAGAGCTTTAAATCACCTGAAGTGCAACACGGGGTTGGCGATGGTCGGAGTCCTGTCCTCAAACGGCTCGATGATGATGGTGAAACCTTCAGAAACACAGGGAAACGCTCGGTCAGCTCGGGGGCGGAGCCTGACAACTGACTGGTCGCAGCGTCTCCATACCTTGGCTGTAGGTGCTGACCAGAGTGGCGAAGTTGGAGATGAGCGTGACGGCCGAGAAGTCAGCAACGTCTGCGATCTCCAGAGTCCTCAGCAGAGAGTGCAGCCGCTCCGCGCAGAACCTGAAGGAACCGATTTGATTTCATTCTGAAAGTTTCTTTTGATTTTATTCTGAAAGTTTCTTTGATTTTATTCAGAAAGTTTCATTTGATTTTATTCTGAAAGTTTCTTTTGATTTTATTCTGAAAGTTTATTTGATTTTACTCGAGTTTCATTTGATTTTATTCTGAAAGTTTAAACCCTAACTGTTTCGGACCTGAGGGGTTTGCGGTCAATGCAGACTTTGTCAAAGATGTCTTTGAGGAACTGCGGGGCGCTCTCCTGCACCACGTGCTGGACCCGCAGGCGGGACTTGAGGTACTCCAGGAACCGCCTCAGGAAACCCACGAAGTGTTCGGCTGTTCGGATGGATCCGGGGACCGCCTCTGATCGAGGAGAGACAACACAAGAACACGTTCAACGATTCTGCACCGTCACAAAAAAACAAATGTTTTCGGAGCGGACGGACAAACCTTGCAGAATCTCATCAGGTAAGACCGGGTTGGACAGGTAGACGTCTGTTTCTCTGGCAACGTTGGCCTCCTTCAGCCCCTCCACCAGCCGGCGGTACTCCAGCCTCAGCTTGGCAGCGTCCGTCTCCTTTATCCTACGAGAAAACTCATCTTTATAGTTTCACTTCAGCCTGTTAGTAAAATATGGGCTGGCAGTGTTCAGTTTACGTGTGGATGGTGCTCTGCAGCGTCTCCACGTTGTTCTGGCAGCGGTCCAGCGTTCGCCTCGTTATGTTCACGCTCATGGAGTCGATGCAGACGTTATCTGAGAGAAGGAATAAAAAAATTATAATAGTGCGACGCTTCACAATCATTCATTCATTCACAATATTGACGGGTTTTTCTTCCGTACGTTTTTCAGCATCTAACTCGTTCCACAAGTTTTGTGCTATTTCAACAATTCATACATCAAAACGTTCAGCTCATTCATGTGAGTTTTGCTATGACTTTTGGTATTTCAGCTACTTATACTTTTTTAGTTATTTCACTTTTTTGCCATTGGAAATGAATTTAGCTGTTTTCAACTTCCTTAAACTCCTTTTAAATGTTTCTAAATCTTAACAGAACCTTACACATTTTGTTCTGGTTCTGCTCTTTTTCACTTTCTTGTGCTAATTTTAGCTAATTTTTTTCACCAATTTTAGCCTTTTTTCCGCTATTTCAGCTAAAATTCTGATTTTTCCTGTTATTCAGCTTTTTCCTACTTTTTTCTGCTACTTTGTGCAATTTAAGCTTCTTACAGATGCTTTCCTCTATATTCAGCTGTTTGCTGAAATTTTGGCTTATGTTTAGCTGCTATTAGCTAATGTTAGCTTTTCTAAAGGTAAATACAAATTTTTTGTAGCCATTATAAATTTTTTCGAATGATTTCAGCAAACTTGGGCTCCTTATGCTAATTAAAACATTTCCAGCTACTTTTGAGCTGTTGTACTAAAAATCTCAGCTGTTTGTTATCACTTTTATGTAATTTTATGTTTTTTCTGCCTTTTTTCGGTTTTAGCTATTTTTCAACTTTAAGTATTTCAACTGGGTGCTAATTTCAAATTGTGGCTGCTACCTTTAGCTTATTTTCTGCTAATTTTAGCTATTTTGTGTTACTTTAGTTATAGATCAGCTTCTTCCTGCCATTGTTCTGCTTTTTCTGCTTTTTTCTGCTACCTGGTGTTATTTCTGCTTCTTACAAATGTTTTCACAATGTTCAGCTATTTTAGCTCTTAGCTTTTAGCTGTTTTCTGTTGTTTTCAACTAGATTTGTGCTCCTTTTTAACTGTTTTTCTGCAAAGTTAGGCTTGTTTGCTTCTTTCAGCTTTTCAAAGTGAGCTCACATTAACACTTTTCCTGTTAAATATTTTCAGCTGAAGTTTTCAGCTGAAGTTTTCAGCATGAAGCATTCACACGAGCATTTTCACAGGAAATGCAATTTCTCTAGTTTACATTAAATTCTTGCGAACAGATAAACTGTCTGATAAATGTCCCGACCGATGTTGTGGGCCTCGTCAAACACCACCACAGACTTCTTGGCGAGTTCTTTGGACACCAGGTCAGCGATCTTGGGGTCCAGCAGGTAGTGGTAGCTGTAAACCACGATGTTGGCGTGCAGAATCTGCAGGGAGGTAAAGAAACGCAGGAGAAAGAGTCAGAGAGGTAAGAAAGAGAAAAAAACAAAGAGTCAGAATCCGTCTCACTGTGTGACGCTTCACAGCATTCACACTGTTCATCATGTTTTCTTCTGTATGTTTTTCAGCATCGAACTCCTTCCATAATTTTTGTGCTATTTCAACAATTCATTTATCAAAACATTCAGCTCCTTCAGGACATTTCAGCTGTGACTTCTGGTATTTCAGCTATTTATACTTTTTTAGCTGTTTTACGTTTTCAGCCACATACTGTATTTCCCATTGAAAATGAATGGAGACGTTTTCTGCCATTTCTGCTGTTCTTCTGCTAATTTGTGCTCTTTTGTGCTTCTTTTTGCTAATTTTAGCTTTTTATTCTTCTTTCTTTGCCTTCTGCAAATTCCAGCTCAGCTGTTGATAAAATTAGTTTTTTCAAACTAAATTCACATTTTGGTGGCCATTTTAGCTTTTTTGCAAACCTGCCCTTTCTGCTTCTTTGTGCTAATTTCAGCATTTTAGTTACATTTTAGCTGTTTCACAACAACTTGTCACTTTTTGTATTTTATTTTTGGCTACATTGTTTACACCACTGTTAATTTCTGTGTACTACATTCAACCTGTTTCTGCTACATTAACTTTTTTTCTGACAACTTTAGCTTTTTCTACCATTCCAGCATTATATTGTCTCCTATCGGCCATTTTTCTATTTATTTATAATTTTTCTGCTTCTTTTTTTTTTCTACTAATTTACGCTTTATTTACTTCTTTCGGTTGTAGTTGTGCCAATTTTAGCTTATTTTTTGCAACTTTAGTTACTGTTTAGCTGTTTGTTGCTAAATTAAGCTTTTCCAAATTAAACTGACATTTTGATAATCATTTTAGTTTCTTTTTGCAAACGTGCTCTTTCTGTTTCTTTGTGCTAATTTCTGCCATGTAAGTACATTTTAGCTGTTTTACTGCACGTTATGGCTGTTTTAGCTGTTTCACAACAACTTGTCACTTTTACTTTTATTCTTGGCTAATTTTTTACGCCACTATCACTACATTCAATTTGTTTCTGCTACATTGAGCTTGATTTTCTGTGAATTTTAGCTGTTTTCTGCTATTTCAGCTATATTTCGAATCCTTGCTGCTATTTTTCTGCTAATTTCTACTTTTTTTTTTACTTCTTTCTGCTTCTTATTACTAATTTAAGCTCTAAATACTTTGCTGCTTTTTGCAACTTTAGTTACTTTTTAGCTGTTTGTTGCTAAATTTAGCTTTTTCTAGCTAAATACACATTTTGGTGGCTTTTCTTTCATCTTCTCAAACTGAACTCACATTAACTCCTTTTCTATTAAACATAATCAGCTTCATTTCAGCAGCTATCAGGTGAAGTTTTCAGCAATAAGCGTTCACAATAGGGGTGTAAGAAAATATCGATACACTGAAATTTAGCGATATTTCATTTCCCAATACTGTATCGATATTCTAAAGCCCTGTATCGATTTTTAATTAAGGTTTAAAATGTCAACCTTCTTGCCAACCGTTCATTTTTATGTTGTAGTTCAGCYTCTGACCACTAGTTGGCAGCAGTGAGCCAGACATTTGGCTCCTCTACCTCTTGATCGCCAGAGAGTAAGAGTAGCATTAGCATTGTAAGTAAACATTAGCTTTTCTTTTTTTCCAGTAAGAGGTTTTTATTTAATAGAATTTTTGGACAAAAAAAAATCGCAATATATCGCCTTACTTACAGTATCACAATATATCGGGATATATCGTATCGTGACCCCTCTGTTATGATATGTATTGTATTGCCATATTCTTGCCAATACACAGCCCTGGTTCACAATAGTATTTTCACAGGAAATGGGATGTTTCCAGTTTGTTCTGAACTCACAGAGTAACGAGCCAGATAATACGGACACCAGCCTTTCCTCCTGCCGAAGTCCTTCAGGTCGTCCAGGTTGTAGATGCCGGCAGGAAGAGGGACCTGACGCCCGACTGAATCAAACTCCTGCAACAAAACCAGAAATGAACAGGAAGTAACAATAAACTGACCTTTTTAAATTCTGTTTTTATTTTTATTGTTTCTGAGTCTTTTGTGTTTTTATTAGTGATATTTTATCTAACAGATTTAAAAAAAAAGATCCCGTTTTTACCTCGTAGAAGCGACAGGCCGGTACGTTGGGGTTAGCATGGCGCTGTGCACGGATGTAGGATGCGGTCAGACTGTGGCACTTGCCGTCCACCTCCTTCCCGAAGCGCAGGGAGCTGACCTGTGTGGAGACGGACAGGTTCAGACGTGCAGAGGCTCAGGAAACTTTTGACGTGTCGCAGCTGATCCTACCTCAGGGTGGATGCAGAGGTTCTTCCTGGAGGACAGAGCCAGAGCCAGGAAGTTGTTCACCTCTCCGGTTTCTTTGGCGTAAAACTCCATCAGCTTCTTCAGCTCCTCCACAACCTCGTCATGAAAAAGATTTTTTTATTTTTTACACCCGAGCAGATGAATTTTTCTTCCCGTCAGTTTGTCTGATCTGACTCACCTTCTCGATCTCAGGAACTGTTCTGGAGCAGTAAATCAACTTGGTCACGTCCAGTGGAAAGGCCTGAGGAAAACAAAACGACACGTTCAAATGTCGATAAACCGCCTGAAAGCCCCGAAGGCCTCGGGGACAACTCACCCTCTGATAGGCCACGATGAGGGACAGGAGGGAAATGGTCTTCCCGGTTCCTGATGGCATCTCCAGAACTCCATGACCCTGAACACAAACATCAGTGGCTTTAAAAAAACACATCAGCTGCTGAGGAAATTATCCTTTTGTTTCAGGAATAAAACAAAAGAAAGGGGGTGCTGATCTCTGCGGCTTGTAGATCATCTGATCAAAGCTGCAAACTCAATAAAGTAAACATATTGAAGTTGAACAGTTTCTTACAGTAATTTAGGTTTGTTTATAAATAAAATCTCCCACCTTTGCATCTAAAGTCCTCTTCAGCTCCAGCATGTAGGAGTACTGCTCAGGATAGATGTAATCATAGGGAAAATACACCAACAAACCATCGATGTTCAACCTGAAATATTTAATAAACAGTGATTGCGTTAAAACAAAACTCCTACTATAAACAGCAAAGTAAAACTCCAAACGAGTAAACAAAAAAACACAACAGCATGCACAAAGTACAGCCGCTAAAGCTAGCTAGTTTTAGCAGCTTCGCGCTGAAAACACTCACCTCATTTTGGCATGTCCTTTAACAAGCACCCGTCTTTGTTTTCTTTACTTTCAAACGCCTGTTTTAAACGTTTTCAGACTAAAAAGAAACCCTGATCTGCGTTTAAGCGCTGCTACAAACCGCTTCCGGTATTTTCTTCTTCGACGGTTGTTTTATCAGCACTCACGCTCTCGAGCGCTCTGGTTTGATTTAGCTACATTTAGTTTTTAGCTACATTTTATCCCCCCCCTTTTTTTTTTTTTTGTTCAAACTATGATTATGCTACTCATAGCTTTTTCCTATCTTCTCATTCGTATCACTTAGCTTTTGTTATGCTAACTTTATTTTTTAGGTTATTGCTAATTGTAGCTTATAGCTACTGTCTTCCTCATTTCAGCTTTTAATGTGGTTTTGCTAATCTATAAGCTACTGTTGTGTTACATTTCATCTTTTAACTATATCTTTGCATATATTAGCTTTTAGCTACTGTTTCGGCTACATTAGCTTTTAGCTATATTTTTGCATTAACAACAAATTTTACTGTTTTTTAACCACTGTTTTTCAAATTTTAGCTTATGATTTGATTTTGTTACGTTTATGTTTTAGCTACAATTCAGCAACTTTTTTGTCTTCTTTGCTTCTAGCACCGATTTAGCTACTTTTAGCTTTTTTCTACTGTCTAGTCCAGGGGCTGCAGGCAAAATGCATGAATATAATATACATGTTTGACATGCTTGTGCATTTCACATGTTGATACAATCTGAGTATTTGTGGTCTTAGAATGTGTTTAAATTTAAATATGTGCTGAAACATAATGACAGGAGATTACAACCTAACCAGGGAAACTATTGGTGGGCCATTTTTGGCCTGCAGGCCCCAATTTGGGCAAATCTGTTCTAGTCAATCTTATCTCTTAATGTCTGTTTTGCTAATTTTATTTTTAGTTATTGCTAATCGTAACTTTTAGCTACTCTCTTGTAATTTGAGCTTAAAAAATAGTTTTGCTAATCTATTATTAACAACTGTTTTGTTACATTTTAGCTTTTAGTTGACATATTTTAGCTTTTATTTACTGTTCAGATTATGCTGGCAGTTTAGCTACTGTTTTGCAATTTTTAGCATTGTTAGTATTTTGTTACATTTATGTTTTAGCTACAGTTCAGCTACTTTTTTGCCTTCTTTCCTGCAAGTTCCAATTATACTAGTTGGCTTTTTTATACTATTGTGTCAATCTACTTTCTTAGCTTCTGTTTTGCTAATTTTATTTTTTGCAAATTGTATCTTTTAGCTACTGTCTTCCAAATTTTAGCTTTAAGTATGGTTTTGCTAAACTATTACTAGCCACTGATTTGTTAAATTTTAGCTTTTAGCTAGTTTTCATATTTGAACTTTTAGATACTGTTTTGCAAATTTTAGCTTTTGATTTGATTTTTCTGCATAGGTTTCAGCCCAGTTTTAGCTACTGTTTTACCTTCTTTGCCTATAGCTACTGTATTACTGCTTTTAGCTTTTTCCTACTATATTGTCAATCTTATCTCATAAATTACAAAGTATAGATGGTATCTTAACTTTGTAATTCATTTCTAAAAATAGCAATAGTTATTTTAACTGACTGTTGTAGTTATTTTTGTGACCACCAGAGGGCAGTAAAAGCTAATAGATCACATATTGCTGGTTCACTTTTCATAATTCTGGATTTTTTAATTAAAAAAATCCCATCCATATCAATAAAGATCACTAGACATGTCAACATCTGGTTGTAAAATTTTAAATATTATGGTATTTTGTAATTATTGTGCCTTTTGTTCCCTGGATGAGCCCTAACTTCAGACGTGTAAAGAGTCAGAAAGAGGCCATCTTTATAAGAAACATTTTATTAGATGTACAGAGGTATATACAGAATAAATGACATTGCAATGTTGGGCTATGAAGCAGAAGATGTTTGACTGTGAGCAACAACAGAGGAGTGAGTTTTTAAAAGACAAAAATAAGAAAATTATCTGCAAACATTTTTTTTTTAACACAAAGCTTTTTTTTACCACCAGAAAAGAAATCTAGGAGTGAACTGTTAATATTATCTGTATAGATGGAGAGTAAAATCTGCAGTTTATCAAAATTTGTCCATCTTTTTGTCCACAAACGTTTTTTTTTCTGTCTTTAGAAATGTTTTCTCCTCTTTTCTTTCACCCGTCCATCAATCAGTTTGTATAAAAAAGTTTGTGTCACATTCGTCCTTTCACAGCTCACAGCGGTTGTCCACAGTCTTATAGCGGTCCATGATGCCCAGGACGTCCTCCAGGATGGACGGGCCCAGATCCAGGTCCAGCACGGCCATGGAGTCGGACCGCGGCACCCCGGAGGAGGGCGCGAGGCCGGCGGGGTGGAGGGCGGCGCAGGGCGACTCGCTGCGGTCGCTCCCTGCGTCCTCGTTGCTCAGGCCGGCGTCAGAGTCCAGGCTCAGCCCCCGGTGGACGTGGGCCGGCCCGCAGCTCTCAGACACCGAGTCCTCGGAGGACACCTCGGAGAAGGAGCCGGAGGACGGGACGAGGCTGCGGACGGCGGGGGACGGGGACGCGTCTCTGCAGGGTTCCCCTCCGTTCTCGCAGAGCGACAGGAGCTGCGTGCCGTCGGCCCACCCACGGCCCGGATCCGGAGGGGCGGGCTCGTCCAGGTGGAGGCGTGGCGGTTTGGGCGGGGCCTGTTCGTGTGCGACGAACACGGGCATGGAGACGGTGGTCTTCAGCAGCCCGTTGCAGTGGTGCTGGTAATGGAAGCCGTCGTAGCCGGGCTCTTCCCGCTGAGCCGAGAAGCCGTCGCTGTGGGACCGGGCGCTGCCGCCGTTCTGCCGACTCAGCACCGGCAGCATGTCCATCTTCCCCCGCAGGAACCCCACGTCTCCAAACATGTCCCCCTCCCCCTCCGGTCCCACGTGGGCGCTGTGCCGGACGTCGCCCAGCGGCGGGCTGATCATGTCGCCCGACAGGACATCCCGAAGCTTCAGCCTCTTCCCCTTCTTGGGCGTCGTGGTTTTCAGATAAATGGGTGTTTTCGCAGGCATTTTGTTCCAAACAACAAGCTGAAAATCAGCCGAAAACAAAAAAAAGTTTCTATTTTTTCTTTTTTTTTAACAATAATCCAGTGATTTGTTGTTTTCTCGTCAGTCGGTGAGGAGACAGAAGCTCCAGAGGTCTGACCTCACATCAGCTTCCTCCGTTCTCCTGTCAAACTCCCACATTTAATCCAGCAGCTCCTCCTCTCTGCTCCTGCTCGGACAGAGGGTTCTCCGTCTGCCGGGCCGAGCTGGGCCGAGCTGGGCCGGTCCTCTGGGGAAGCTTCAGGAATGTGACATCAACACCCCAGAGATCTGCGAGGAGACACGAAAGAGACAAAAGAAGTCAGAAGGAGGCTGAAAGGAGGAGGAGGAGCTGAGGAGATTTAACATCTCCTCCAAGAATCCTCCGGGTTTTTACCAAACCGGGTCTGCTGGACACAGACTTGTAAAGTAACTAAGTACAAATACTTTGTTACTGTACTTAAGTAGAAATTTTGCTTGTCTGTACTTTACTCAAGTACTTATTTTTCAGCATACTTTTTACTTTTACTCATTACATTTGTTCACAATTATCTGTACTTTCTACTCTTTACATTTTTTAAAAAAGGTAAGAAATAAAGTCGTTACTCCTGTTTTATTACAGTTTGTTATTATTTAAAAAATACTATCCTGATAAATTGTGTCTCCTGGATAGAGTGAATTTAATTGTGGTTGGATGAGAAGTATAAATATATACCATACTGTCACCGTAATACTTTGTACACAGTCCATCACAGCTGCACGCCGGTAGAAAAAAATAATTTTGGGGAGGTCACCTCCCAATAAATGTCATTTAGGAAAAACTAACTGCTCACTTTTACTCAGTACTTTTAATAAAGTAGATTTTGTGTCAGAAATTTACTTGTGATACTTAAGTACAAAAAAATCAAATACTTTATAACTTACGTATACTCAAGTAATATTCTTATAGAAGAATTTAACATTTACTAAAGTATTTTTATGATAAGACACTTTTACTTCTACTCAAGTATCTCTTTGAGGTACTTTATACAACACTGGCTGGACCCAAAACATGAGTCAGTGAAGAAAACTGGGGTCAAACACAACAGAACATGAAATTCAACAAATAACGAGTTAAAAGATCATTTTTAAGTTTTAGCTGCTAAATGTGACAAATTAAATTGACTGACAGAATCTATGTTTTTAGTTCTGTTCATGAAAAACTGATTATTTTAAAAATAATTAGATTTTTATAACATTTAAAGCCTTTTTGTAAAATTAAATGTTATGAAACATTATTTTATTAGTAAAATGAATGCCTGAAGGACTAATTAAACCAACTGAGATGTCTGTTAGCAAAATATCTTACGAACAGGACAGATTTTAATGAAATAACCTTAAAGCTCTGCTAATTTTACATGTTGAGCTAAAATTCAATGTTTCGTTCCTAAAACACACCGTGAGATCGTTGCCATTAACTGCAGGCGTTGTCCATCACAGACCAAACATCTAAATATAAATTTAATCATCTTTTAACTTATTGTTACAAAATAATAAAACATCAAACAGTTTCGCCCTCATATCGGAGCAAACTGGACACATTTATTCAGAGTGTTTAAATGTTGATTAATGGTCTCTTTAATTAGTTTCTCTGTGCTTTCAATACCCGGATCCACAAACATCTAACAGGCTGTGTCCATCTGAGGCAGTGGCTCCGTCTAATTTAAGTCCCAGAGAGCCGTAAAAAGACCAGAACCGCCCCGGTCCGTTTTCATTTCAACACAAAGAGCAATTAAACATCTTGAATCTGGAAAGAAATGAATCATACTGCTGTTAAACAAAAACACGCCCAGATTTAAAGCCGACCACAACAAAGTAACTGTGACGAGGAATATTAACAGCAGCGGGGCGGGGGGGGAACCGGATCGGTCAGAACCGGTCCAGACAGACAGGCGGTACCACTGATGAAGAAACTGTTATTTTAGTTAGGTTTGTGTCTGGAAAAACTAGATTTAATTCAGAGAAAATTTATTTTAAAATCAAAACATAAAGTTAAAGTTCAAATCTTAGCTGAGCAATAAATATCTTACCTGTTGCAGATGGCTCTAGTCAGGGCGGAGCCAAGACTAAAGGCCATTGCTGCTGAATTTAAATGACTCCAACCTCAAATATTTTACTGCTGATCTTTTATTGCAGCAAAAACATTAGATTATTGTGAATATTAGAAGTGCTACAGCAAGCTGCTGCTGCTATCTGCATTATTAAATAACAGAAAAATTAATCTAAATAAACATCTGACTGCAACGTACAGGTATGTTAAACAGCGTAAACATGTTAAGGGCTAATAAATATTATAAACTAGAGCAGATAATTTGAAATTAGACAGGATTTATTAACATATAATACAATAAGTCTTTTTACTGCATTTTTCATCTAATCTGAACCAATAAACCATCTGTCAAACATAAACATTTAAACCAGAGAGTTTTTGTAAAAATACAAAAAAAGTAAAATAATGAATATAAATTAAACCTAAATAACACTTCTTGATGTGAAAATACCAGAAATGTGTAGCTTCTCAGCTGAATTCTAACATGAAAAAACAAAATTACCCTTAATATCAAAATGACTGAATTAATGTACAAATGACTTGCCACACTTGCCACTGTACTTGTCAAAGCAATAATTACATATATGACACAACCTCTTGCCATACAGCTGGTTTTGATCAAACAGTTCTAATATTTTGTATATTTTTCTAAAACCAATCATGTTTATTTGATGTAGAAAGCTTTAGTTATTTTATTTTTATTTAGCTTACAGTTGTTACATTCTGCTGATTTTTGGCTAAATGTTAAATCCTAAGTCTAAATATAAAAGTTAAATCTTAAAATGTTAAAGTATATATTTAAGATCATTATTTTTATCCTACTGCAACAAAGGCAACCACTAACTCTGCTAACTCTTAACACTGCTAACTCTGCTAACCCTGCTAACTCTGCTAACCCTGCTAACTCTGCTAACACTGCTAACCCTGATAACACTGCTAACCCTGATAACACTGCTAACCCTGATAACACTGCTAACCCTGATAACACTGCTAACCCTGATAACAGCTACCATCCATATTGTTTTAAATTAACACATTTTGAATTTAAATTTGAAATACTGTAGCAGCATTAGCAGAGTTAGCGTTAGCTTTTGTCTCAGGATGATGACATCACAACAGCAACAGTCAAGGCTGTGTTCCATCAGAGATTTTTAAACATTTTGCTGCAACATTTACATTTTTTTACATTTAGATTTAGGATTTAACATTTATAAAGAATTAAAATTAAAATTTTACATTTAACTATATTTTTTAAAAAGTTACAAAAAATATTTTTAAATAGTTGTATGGAAGATGAAGGATATAAGGAAATGATAAATGATTTAGATAAATATAGTATAAAATTACGATAAGACCAGATGCAGTATGTGTTAAATGACAAGGCTGTGTGTGTATTTTTTAACTGTTGCTATAAGATATACTGGGACATGTTTGATAAAAAGGTATGTTGAATAATGATAAAAAGTGTAAAGTGGTGTGAATAAAAAAACTGTAACCTTCTCGCTCCTTTTTGAACAAGTAGCTAAAATGATTCTTATGTTGCAAAACATTTTTTGTATTCTTGTGCATGTATTTACATGTACATATGTATATCTATTCTTCCTTTGTTTTTATTTTATTTGTTCAAAATAAAAAGTATCTAAATAAGGAAAACGTTTGTTTTTACCATCTTAATTAACACTACCCTCACAGTTCCGCCCCTAACATTTACACCAGCATTTGTTACACTTTTTAAACTCTATCTAAAAGCATAAGAGAATAATGAAAGATTAAATAGGTCAGTGTTGTAAACCTAGATTTTAGTGAACAAAAGCTGAATTATCCACTTGTTGCCTTTAGAAAGGATTATTTTTAGGATTTTTTTTCTGAGATTCTCCTTTTTTCCTTCCAATTCAGGAGGTTAAATCAACACCATCCTGCGTGAGAAATAAAAACACACCTTTAGAGCTGCTTCGTCACTCATAATTTAAATTTCGTCTTTTTGCATCACTTTTCCTGGAAGCAGGACTCGATGATGCAATCGACCACAGAAGAGTCTGATCCACATCTGTTTCTGCTCTCAGGCTCCGTTTGTTTCCTGACTCTGCTGGAACGAGTCACACCGCGGGGGGGTGGGGAGTGGGGGTCCTGTCATCCTCTGTGACAAATGAACCGACGCGCCTGAACGCACCACGGCTCCACCGCTTTCATCCCTGCTTGTTGAGCAGGAAGCATTTCCACTGATAATCCCTTTGTTTTCCTCACTAAGCTGATTGTGTTGGTCAGAAATACAGATGCAGATAAATTTGGTTTTAGTGTTTTGGTAAAACAGTAAAAAATAAAAAATAACACACAAAGGTCATTGAAATAACTAGAAACTTATAAAAGTTTTAATAGAGGATCAAATTCTAATGATGATCTGTCACTGTTTTGAAGCTCCATTCAAGATTTATTTAAAAAATGCATCTGTCCACTAGTGTTCTGGTCCACCTGTCCACTAGTGTTCTGGTCCACCTGTCCACAAGTGTTCTGGTCCACCTGTCCACTGGTGTTCTGGTCCACCTGTCCACAAGTCTTCTGATCCACCTGTCCACTAGTGTTCTGGTCCACGTGTCCACTAGTGTTCTGGTCCACATGTCCACTAGTGTTCTGGTCCATCTGTCCACTAGTGTTCTGGTCCANTGTCCACTAGTGTTCTGGTCCATCTGTCCACTAGTGTTCTGGTCCACCTGTCCACTAGTCTTCTGGTCCACCTGTCCATTAGTGTTCTGGTCCATCTCTCCTCATGAACAAACTGCTCCAGCTGTCTCAGGTCTTCTCCAAATATTTCAGCTCCTTCCACAGATCTTCAACAGGATTTAGATCAGGACTCAGAAGACCACTTCAGAACAGTCCTGTGTTTGGTTCTGATCCATTTCTGGGTGGTTTTAGTTGTGTTTTGGGTCATTATCCTGTTGGAGGACCAAGCTTTCTGACACAGAGCAGCACATTTAGCTCCAGTAGGCCTTGATAGTCTTGAGATTTCCTTGCACCCTGCACAGATTCAGGTGCATTGAAGCAGGTCCAGAACAGAACCGAGTCTCCTCCATGTGTCTCTGGCAGGGTTCTGGTCTTTGTTTCGTGTTTGGGTCTGTGGACACAGAGCTGATGGGACTTGTTGGTCTCATCTGTCCAAAAGGACATTCTCCAAGAGACTTTGTGGCTCTCAGTATGGATTTTAGAGAAGCTCCAGTCTGTTTATGACTTGGTGTCCACTTCAATCGTTTTCCATCAGGTCCATTTTGCCGTGTCTAATGTCGAAGGTCGAATTTGTTGGATGCTTACGTCACAGCGACGCACCAAAAGCTGTCCAAATTCAAAGACTCCTCCATAAACGTGTCCTCCTTTCTCCCTGATTTGAGGGACGGATCTGGTCTCCTCACATCCTATCCCAAGATGCATTGCGGGCCAACCTGGAGATTTGTTTTTCTTGTAATGTTGGACGAAACGAGGGACAGGAGCACAGCTTTAAATAAAAACTCTTGCAGTACAGAAACCGAACGTTTTAAATGGTTGTGTTGTTTGTCTTTTGCATCGACGTGTTTTTAATATTATTCTTGTCAGAAATCAAACGAGCTCATACGACAGGTCCCTATAATTCTTTAAACATTGTCTCTTAGATCATTTTGTTAATTTATATTGTTTACATTAATATTTTGCTAATTTCAATCTATTTTTTTATGGTTATTAGGCGACAGGGCATACGCAGGGCCAAATTCACAGCCACTGTCTTCTGGTCGACAAAGGATCCCGCCCACCTTGACCAGGTAGACAAGGTAGGCCGGGTCCTTCGAAGGACTCAAACACTGATGACCTTTGACCTCAGAGCTCACCTCTAATCTCCTGACTCTTTGAATATTGTTCGTATTATGTCTCATTGCTCTCTTTCACTGTTTTGTTAAAAACAATAATCCTGTTGAACCAAACTTCAAAATGAACGACGGATCAGTTCATTGATGAGATGAAAGGTTTCAGACAAATCTGTATCCAAAAAAACTGAGTAAACTCTTTCAAACTCTTCCATTTGAGCATATGTTTTTATGTTTTTCATATATTTGGGGGGTCTTTTATGATCTAATTGTGAGATAATGATTTAAACTGCAGCCTGATCTGACTCAGCCTGGATGTTGCAAAAATGGGCTTTCCTGACTTGATGGGAACAGGTTAGGATGAGTCCTTCATGAGCCCCAAGGAAAAGAAAAACCAGGTTCTGCAGATTACAGATGAAAGGCTGGAGAGTGAAGTCAGAGTCTGATCACCTCCCTGGCTCTCTGTGTTGTTATGTAACTGCTTCTCTGAGATCATCTGTGTCCTCCTGGAGGCTCTGAGTGGTTCCAGTGGAACAAGGTTTCAGCTCTAATCCACGACGTGAAGCAGTTCTGACTGGATCTGAGTCACGTCCTGGATCATTTCTTCATCTGTCTGCCTTTTCAAACACTTCATCTGCTCATAATTAGATCATCACCACATTCCCGACTGCATCAGACTTCATGAATTAAAAAAAACACACATTTGTCAGGGAAAAGGGAAGGAAGAGCTATCCCTCTGATGCCAAACTGCGCACCAACTAAAGGAAGGGACACCAACCTTTTTCTGTTGACAAATAAAATGTTGCACAGGTCACTTTTTTACTGTTTTGTCAGCTACATAATAGAAAACAAAAAGGGCTTGTTGGGCGGGCAAGCTGCGTTCACTGACAACACGTTTAATCCACGGTAAAATGACACAAACAAACCCCCAAATAAAGTCATTAAACTTAAATATTTACCTATAAAAAGACCCGTGGCTCCTGTAAAACTTAGAATCCTGGAGGCTTCCGGTTGTAAAATCCACGGGGAAACCGAGCCGAGCCCCGGGGAGGGTAAACCGCTTACTGACGGGTTATTATTTCTGTCTCTGGATCGCTCTGGAACGAGAAAGTTAAATGGGATCAGCCTCTCAACTCACAGAGGAGAGCTAAATCAGATCACCTGGAGTTAGCATAACAACATCCGGTTTGGGATTTCAAAATAAAAGGAGGCGACGTACGCACGAGAGAATGCCGCTCAATGCGAGGCGAAAACATATCTAAAATAACTTTTACCTTCTGAATACTTTTTTAAATAAGTGAATTAAGCAACTTCAAATGTTAAAACCTTATTTTAGGGCGCGAATCTAATATGAACAATCACTACGTTTGACACTTTTTGATTTATTTTAGAGAGAAAAAGTCTCCGTTTCCGGTTTATATTCAACTGATTATAAACAGCTTGAGCGGGATTTTAAAATCGTTTTGGAAACCATGAGGGCCGTTCTGATGATAAATAAATGAGTAAGTTTTTTGTAAAAATGCCAGGAAAGATAATCAAACTGCTCGGAAACGGTCTCTGGCACTCCCTCTAACAAGTAACATGTGTAAAATAAACTTTTCATATGTTTTATTCTGCTTTTTGTAACTTCATTCATACATCAAAACAATTCAGCTCATTGGA